GCCCCCCAGCCAGTCCCCAGGGAACTGCTCTGATCCACCATACATCCTTTCCAGGGCACAAAGGGCATAAAGAGATCTGCCAGCTGCCACCCTGTGACACTTCTGATCTCATCCCGTGCACGCAGACATGTGCCAGGTCTGAACCTGGGCGGACAGCAATGCCCTTTGACAAAGACAGCAAGGCCAGGAGAAATGGAGATGGAGGAGGAGGAGGAGGAGGAGGGCCACGCATCTCTACACGGAGCAGGCCCTGCGTCTGCACTGGGATGTATTCCTTTCGTTCTTCAGGCACAGAGTCACAGAGTGGTTTGGCTTGGAAGGGACCTTATAGACCGTCTTGTTCCAACCCCCTGCCATGGGCTGGGACCCCTGCCACCAGCCCAGGGTGCTCAAAGCCCCATCCAGCCTGGCCTTGAACACTGCCAGGGAGGGGGCAGCCACAGTTTCTCTGGGCAGCCTGTGCCAGGGCCTCACCACCCTTCTTCAAGGGGCCATCTAGTCCCTGCTTCTCCCAACTGCCACACGCACCTGCTTGATCTGCTGCTGTAGCTTCTTCTTGTAGCCCTTGAGCAAAGAGTTTTTGAAGCGCAACTTCTTTTCTCCCGACTGCCACACGCACCTGCTTGAGCTGCTGCTGTAGCTTCTTCTTGTCACCCTTGAGCAAAGAGTTTTTGAAGCGCAACTTCTGTCTCAGCAGATCCTAAAGAAATACAGCAGATTATGGTGGAGCAGCAGAGCCTGGGAGGAGAGAGAGCAGCCAGACCCCACTCCTTCTGCTGTGGTTCCCGTTCGTCTCATCCGCGCGCTGCAGCCTGCACTGCTGGCTTAGAAAGGAGCCCAGCGAAAAACGCTGCTCAGCATCACCCCACCCCGAACGTGGGGGCATGGCCGTGTCCTTCCCCAGGCTCCGCTAAGGCCCCTGCATCATCTGTGCTGCAGCTCAGCAGCCTGGTGAGCACCTGAGCTAGGCACTGACTGACAAGTGTGCCAGGGGCTGCCCAAAGACACTTGCTAAGATAGTCTGAAAAGGTGACGTAGGCCACACCGGAGTATGGGAACTAGGATTTTCCCTAACCAACATACTTGTCAGATGACAGACCGGTCTCAGACTTTGCCTTGATGCACTGACCCGCTGGCAGTTCTTCTCCTCCATGTATCTCAGCAGCTTATCGGAAGCTCTGATACTCCCTTTCTTGCTGGATATGGTGCTGACGATGTCTTTCTCAAAGTCACTGATGGCTTTCTGCACATCAGCGCACCAAATGTCTGCTTCTTCAATGACTGCCTGTAGAAATAAAGTCACACAACAGTCAAGAGGTGCTAACTTCCATTATTCAAACAGCTTTGGGAACAGAGAACACCAGAAAGGACCAGGCATGCTCTCGGCTGGCATTACTAGCATTTCTCCCATGGGAGCACTGAATTTCGCCCTGCGCAGCTTGGGGCACGTGCTGCAGGCTCATGCAGTGCTCCCACTTCATTGACTTGAAAAGAACAAGAAAAAACATCTCACACGCGCCCGAGCTTCAACATCTGTCACTCCGTCCCGACCTACAAACATTGCCAGCCTGACCAAGCCAACACCAGGCAAAATACCACCCTTGGTTTACTGCGCATGGCCTGCGGCTGCCTGCTGCAGCTCTCCTGGCCACTGCAGGCAGCATCAGTGGTCTGGACCGAATGCAGAGTTCTCTCCTTCCCCAGAAGCTCCTGGGCATCTTGGCTAGGAGGAGGTCTCGGCAGCCAGCACAGGGCAGGCGGAGATGGTGACAGAGCCGCGAGGAGCCTGCAGCACTGACGCAGGCTTGGAGCATGCTCTGAAGAAATCCCAGAGACAGCAGAAAACAGAGCCTGGAGGGGGCTGCACAGGGCCCAGCCAAACCAGGAAGCTTCTGGGAGCTTCTAGAATGAAAAATATGTCTGGCACAAAGTGCATACCTTCAAGAAGCTGACAAAAAGGAAACTGTTCTTTCGAGCGTTGCCTTTTTCATCTCACACAGCAGATCTGAGCTTCTCTACCTAAAAATCTTCCCCTTGTCTGTATTATTACTATTAGTTCCCGCCGTAATAAGATCCATCTTTAGAGACTGGGCACCTCTGCTCTCGGGGAGTGTGCTTGCCTTCAAGCAAGGGGTGAGGGGAGAGGACAGTTCTGGCGCGCACCCGCAACACGTGACCCCTCCCAGCAATGCTCTGCTATGAACAGCCCTCACCAAGCAAGTCCATCTCACTGCCTGAGGGGTGGCACCTTGGAAGAGGTGTGAAAAGGAACCAGACTGTTTCACACCTGGGTGATGGTAAGGGTCCCAGAGAGCCATACCTCGAGGTACTGCAAGGTCTGCTCCGAGTCCTCCTTCATCCTCTGAATCTCATCCTTCGTCTCAGACAGCTCCCGCTCAGCCAGCTCACATTTCTGCTCCACTGTCAGGCCTGCAGAATAGTCCGTCGCGCACTGCAGCTTGGACTTGTACCTGCCATGAGTCTGCAACAACCAAGGAACAACGCAGATGCCGTTAGAAAGCCGGCGCTGGCCAACCATTGCTGCATTTGCCTGTACTCAAAAAGTAATGTCAACGCTCACGTTGGAGGGATTCCAGCTTACAGCAAGGACAAGGAGGCCACTCTGGAGCAGAGGTAACCCTGGGCCACGCCTGGGCTCACCCCATCTGTCCTCTTCTCCACCCACAAAACCCTCCATGCAAGCGCTCTCAGTTCAATTGAGGGTGAGAGGTTGCAGCCAACACGACAGCGTCACGCGGGCAGGTAAAAGACCTCGTCACAGCGAAGGTGCTCACGGCTGTGTCCAGGTTAAGGGCTCGCTGCTGCGAAGCCCAAGCGCAGAGGGCTGTTGGGGGGCTTCCTTCATGACATTTCAACCCGGGGAGCCTGCCTGCTGGCCTGCGGTCAGATGTGCGCCGAGACTGGGTGTCGGCGGGGCCGCGGAGGGAGGAAGGCTCACGGCTCTGCGCGGCGAGGCGGCAGCCAGAC